GCCCTGTCAGTCACCATGTGCCAGGAACTTCTCTTGGGACCCCAGGCTGAGCACAGGAGATGCGCATCAGAGCATCTAGTGGCATTTAGAAGGGGGAGGGGGGCCTGGCTGCAGCCCTTTCTAGCTGTCTGCAGAAGGCATCGGTGTCCTGAGCACAGACTGGGCCACTCTGAGGGCACCAGTAGTGCCCATCTGGCCCAGGTGTGGCTTTGTCTCTGCCCCTGCCTCCACCTCCACCCCCGGGGTGGGGGGTGGGGGTAGGTGGCCCTCAGTCAGGGTGATTACGGGAACTGCCCTCTTTAAAGTACCTGCCTTCTCCTTTGAAAGTATTACTGACAGATTTTTTCATTTTCTTTTTTCTTTACCTCTTTAAGGAACCCTGTAATTTCTTTCTCTTTCTTTTCTTTCTCCCCCCTTTCCTTTTTCTTTCTTGTCCCCTCTGTCCCCCTGAACTCTTTGAAATTGGCTCTCTGCCTGCTGACACCAAACTGATACTTTGCGTTTCACTTCTCCTTATCCCTTTATGGCAACAGATGTTGAAATTTTGTATCCTTTTATCTGCCCGGCTGCCCCTTCCTGTAATTACGGTCCCCTTGTTAGCAGTACAAAGTGGGCTGCCCGGCTGCCTGGCCTTTGAGCCATTGTGTCTGAACACGTGTGCGCGGGCGGGCGCCGGGGGCTGTGCACGCGCACACACATGCACGCGAGCGGCTGTGTGCTCGGGCAGGGCCCTTCCCTCTCACCTGATGGGGCTGAGGCAGGCGAAGCATCCATGGGCTTCTCCTGGTCTCTGCCACCCTGTGGTTACATTTGGGACCTATGTGCCTCCTCCATTCCCACCCTCCCCACCTGAGCGCTGGACCAGGACAGCGCCTCCCTGCCCCTCCCGGAGCTCAGACCAGCTGAGCAGTACGCACCCAAAGGCCACCATGGTCTGGAAGCCAGATCCTGGGCATATCGGAGTGCCTGCCAGGTGAAAACACAGGCCGGGTGCCCCGGCTCTACCCTGGCCCTTCGCCTCGGCCCTCCTGCTGCTCCTGTCACTCACTGAGGAATCACTCCATACCACAGGCTGAAATGTTCCCTTATCTGTCCTTTTATAAAAAACTTTCATTTCTCCTCTGGAACTGACTCAGTCACCCCTCATACTGATAGCTGGATACATGACAGACTCCCTCCTTCACTGGGTGGAAAACCCCTTGAGAACAGGGATCGTTCCTTCAAAGTTGGATCTGACATGTCCCCATAGTTCCTGCTTGGCACAATGCCTTGTATACAGAAGGAGCTCATTAAATGGCTGTTGCTCAAAGAAAGGAAGAGAGAGGGGAGGGTGGGAAGGAGGAAAAGCCTCCCGTTCTCTGACCGTGTTCAGCCCAGCTTATACCTTCAGGCCCTCTGTCCCCATGGGAGCCGATGTGGGAAGGTGGACTGTCACTCTCCCATCCTTTCCCTCCCCTGAAAGCCACTGTTGCATTTTTGGGGCCGCACACCCGGGACAGATGTAGGAACGAAAACCCCCAGGATCTCCAGGGAACATCCCCAGGTACCCAGTGTGTTAACGGTGGCTGTAAAATGGTGTGGGGGTCACAGGCATTCTTAGGTGCAGGCTGGGAGGTGGATGGATACAGCTTCTCATATCTCAGGGCCCTTTAGCACAGGGCTCTCTGTGGGCTGTGGCTTGTGTTGGGAGCACAGGGAGGGAGGCAGGTGGAGGATGGGACCAGAGGACTCTGGCTCAGCAGGGCCCAGACTAAGGGGGGTGGGGGTGGGGGCTCTCCCTGCTGGGACATCGGGGCCTTCAGGGTCAGCATCTACCTCCAGTGAGCTGTCCCTACAAAGATGGTGGTGGAGGGGTCAGGGTCTTACTAAATTTCCTTCTGTCAGGAAGCTCCTCCCTAGGCCCCTTCTTCCCTCTAGACAGAATCACAGTGCAGCATGGTGGGTTGGGCCAGGGAGCCCTGGTTTCCTCATCTGATCACCCCCTTCAAGGGTCCCTGGGATGAGGCCACCCTCTGCTTGCTCCTTCTGCCCAGGCACTCGGGGGGCTCCCAGGAAATGCTGCACACAGCCTGGCCTCAGGGCCATGTCTCCTTTCGGCTGTCCGCCCCAGGCCTGCCCTCCTTCTTAGGCTCACAGGGGTGGCCCCATCTGTCTTTATCTTTCCCTGGGTGGAGAGAGAATTGCTGGAGTCGGGCTCGGGGGAGGCTGGGGTGTGGAGCCCCCCACCCCAGCGGCTCCTGGAGGCCCAGGCTTTGTGCGCAGGAGTTGGAAGGGAATGGACTTTTTGTCTGGCCCTCTGGAGTGACAGAGCCGGCCCTTGCTCCTGTCTTGGCCCAGGGCTCTGAGGGGCAGTCCTGTTCCCACACAAGTTGTGTGATAGCCAAGGCTCTGCACCCCCCTCCCGCCCCCCACCGTGAGAGGCCGAGAAGCATTCTTGACATTCTTTCCAGAGAAAAGGGGTGAAACGTCTGAATTTGGGGGTCACCATGTTATACAAATTGCAATCTAATCGTTTTTTACAAGAACACACTTGCAGTAAGAAAAGGAGCCCAAGAGGAGGGGCTGAGGAGACAGCTTGTTTTGTCCCCCTTTCCCCCAAAGTTTGGGGCTATTGTCAGGCTGATCTTGCTCCCTTCACAGGCGCTGTTGAGCTAGAGTTTTCTAGTTAAATTGGTCTTAGGGTGGGGGCCACGAAGGGCCCACGGTGCCATTTCTGTTTGTTTTCCCGAATCAAAGCCCCAGCAGGGCTCCTATGGCACTGCTGGGCTGCTATTTGAAGAGACGGGCCATTTCCCAGAGCCTGGTGTGTCAGTTTATGCTCTGAACTTAACCTCACGGGCACTGCACAACAGAGTCTTGAGGGTCCCAGGCCCAGAGGCAAAAGAAATTGTATCTTTTTATTGGGCCATTTAAAGTGTGTGTGGCCATTTCAGAGAATCGGAGAACAGCGCAGCAGCAGAAAGAAACTCCTCCGTCCCTGGCCAGGCTGGGCTGGCCGACTAGGGGCTTTCGGGACTTGTCCTGGCCTCCAGGGGTTGGTGCTCACTCCGGCCCTGGCGTCTCCTCGAGAAAGCAGGGTTGTTTACTGCAGACACTGGCATGGTGCTTTCCAGTGGTGGCTTGAATGCTGGGGCAGGGGGCCCAGGGTGGCAATCTGAACTGGGTATTGATTGCCCTGATGTTTCTGGTCCTGATCCTGCTGACCCTGCCCGGTCCATGGATGCCCACCTTTCTTTCCTTCTAAACCCTGGGACCAGGGGTAGGCAGGCAGAGCCACGCTGGGCTTCAGGCCCCCAGCCCCCACTGCCTTTCATCTTCTGTTTCAAACAAACATGAAATTACTTCTACAGATTAAAGGGGAGAGCTCCTCAGTCATTCCTGAAGGCCTCACTAATGGAAGGGGCAGGGCCCCCAAATCTGGAAGGAGGGAGAACTGTGGAGCAAAACAGCCCCCACCCGGTGTGTACAAATGTCCAGAAGTACCTTCAAAAGAGAGGTGCAGGGGTGGGAGGGCTCTGGCCTGCCCAGGGTGGGTAAATCCTAGCTGGTGGCCCATCTGGGAAGGCAGGCCCTTCCTGGGAGCCAAGGTCAGTGATCCATACGAGACTGGGATCTTTGGGCAGTGGCTTTCTGCCTGATCCCTCTCAGGGTTCCCCAACGCAGAGGCTGATGTAGTCTAGACCGTAAGAGGAAGACCTCCCTGAGGAGGCTGGGGGCAAGGATTCTGACTGCCACAGTGCCCTTTGCTGGAGGTCCCCTCGCTGCCCAGGGCTCAAGGGGCAAGGCAAACCGGGCAGAAAGGAACCCCCAGCCTCCTCCTTTATTTGTTCAGCCTCTAGGGAAGATGGTGGCTCCACTGAGGAGAAGGGAGGTTGAGGGTCAGAGTCTGTGTGAGCCGAGAGGCCTGGAGCTGAAGTCCGCTTTCACACACATGGCTGACAGCGTCTGCCTCAGCCCTTTGGTGAACACTGCTTGTGAGACCACGACGTCCTCCTCCCCGCCCCCCCCCCCCCAGGGCCTCTTACCTGGGTGTCCCTGGGAAGTGCTCAGGGCCTTGTTTCTCTTGTCATGCATGCAAGGGAGCCTAGTATCTCTTGGGTGAAACTGAGGGATAGGGCCTGGAGGGTGCCCCTCTTCTTCATTCCCCTCTGTCGTTCGGCAGAAACTCACTGCTTCTACCCGTTCCCTAGCCACAGGGATTAGCGGGTGCACTTGATGTTGAGGGGTGGTTGCTAGGGCCAGAAGGCCCCCCTACATGGTTGCTAGGGGTCTGGCATCAGGGCGAGGGGTCTGCCCACTGCCGCGGTCACGGAGGGAATTACACAGTCACAAAGAAATTGTTCTTCTCGGTAATCTGCTCTCGGCCACCGGGAGGGGCGAGGGTGGGGGAGCATGCTGGAGCCCAGCAGGCTGGGGGCTGTGATCACACAGGCGTGCTAGCCGCGGGCTGGGGGCCAGCCGGGCCAGGAACACCAGGGACCAGCCCGCTAAGCTGCTTTCTCAGCGATTTCTCTCCCCAGACACAAAGGTGTTTACTTGTTTTAACATCTCCTGGGACTCCCCTTCTCCCTTTGTGTGGTCTTTATCCCCAATGAGGTTTGAGCCCCAGATTACAGGCGGGAATTAAGGCATTGGACTCAGGCAGCTCAGAACCGCCTGACCTGCAGGATCAAGAAGTATAAAGTAACCGAGTGTGTGTGTGTGCACGGAAGGGGGGCTGGCCCCTCAGCCAGGCCCATTCTTCCTCCTGAGGAGCGGCAGCCAGGCAGCGAGCAGGTGTGATCAGGAGCTGCTGGGCTGAGGCCTTTAGCTGGGGGAGGGGCAGGCACTGGGGTGACAGTGGGCATTTCCTCCCTTGGCCCTTTCCTAAGGGAGCCTGATTTTAGCTCAGGAGCGAGAGCTGCATTTCCTCAGGGACTGATGCCACTGGGTTAAAAGCAGATGTGGGGGCGAAGGGGAGGGGACGGCCGCTCATCCTCTACCCTCCGCTCTCTCCCCAGTGGGCAGCTCATGATGCACCTGGGCAGTGACTTCCCCCCAGGAGCTGGGGTGTTGGATGTCATGTATGAGTCCCCTTCCACACTTCTGTCCTGTGGCTATGACACCTACGTTCGCTACTGGGACCTCCGAGCCAGCGTCCGGTGAGTGTCTAGGCAGGAGGTGGGACGCAGTCCCGGCCCTCCCTCTGGGTGAGCCCCCGGGAGAAGGGACAGGTGGAGGCCAGTAGGAGCAGCCAGCAAGGTCAGATCAAGCTGAGACTCCTAGCTTGGCAGCCCTGGCCTGGGAGACCCTAAGCTACAGGTCATGATTAAGAGCCTGGGAGTCATCAGCGTTCTCCCTGCCTTAGTTACCTGCTGCCCAAGTCCTGGGATGATGAGGGCATGATCTGGCCTGGGGACCTATACAGAGGAGGCTTTCCCCCATTAAGTCTATTTTTCAAAAGAGTTTGCTGATTCAGCTTCTGTCTCCCAGCCAGAATGGATTTCTAAGACCCTTGGGGAAATGGGGGTAGAGGGCACCCCTGCGCTTCCCTCTGACTGCCTCTTCCTGGACAGAAAGTGCGTCATGGAGTGGGAGGAACCCCACGACAGCACCCTGTACTGCCTGCAGACAGATGGGAACCACCTGCTGGCTACCGGTTCCTCCTACTACGGTGTCGTGCGGCTGTGGGACCGGCGCCAGCGGGCCTGCCTACACGTAAGAGCACTGCCCAGCCTTTGTTCCAGGATGCCAGGACTCCCTGTTAGGGGCTGTGCCTGGGAACCTTGGGGTAGGGCTCTCCCCCTCTCCGCCTCGGGACGCGCTTGCCATTCCTGTACCTTCCCTCCCTGCAGGCCTTCCCCTTGACCTCGACCCCGCTCAGCAGTCCCGTGTACTGCCTGCGCTTCACCACCAAGCATCTCTATGCTGCGCTGTCTTACAACCTCCACGTCCTGGACTTTCAAAACCCGTGACAGGGCCACCCCAGCCTGTGGGGCAGGGAAGCCAGCTACTCAGGGACCTCTCCTGCCTGGAGGGTGCAGTGATACCTCCTCCCCCGCCGTGCCTGTGCTCCTAGACCTATCTTGGGCAACGTAAGGTAAAGGCTGCCGACTCTCAGAAATTTGGCATTATCTCCCAGGACCTAGCTGGAGAGCAGGGATCTACTGCTTTGAGAGAATGGCTGAACCCGGCCGGCCCTTGCTTCTCTGGTGGCCAGAGCAAGGATCTGGCCTGGATGGGCCCCCCCGTGCCCCTCGCCCTTTCTTAGAGCCGTGACAGCTCTGAGGGAGGTGAGGTGCTCCAGCTGGTCCCTTTCTGCCCCGTCGTCGGAAGGAGGGGTGAGGCTGCCACTATCCTGCTCTGGCACCGGCCCCCACCTCCTCACTCAGGCCCCTCCCCTTGACTGAGCTCTTGGGGCTCAGTCCTGGGACACTGTGGCCTGGTCCCACTTTGAAACTGAAGAGGGTTGAGTGAGCGCTGAGCCAGCCCAATTGCAGGCTGGCTGCTGGGACATGCTACAACGTTCATTTTTGTAAAAATAAAGCTTGATTGGTCACAGATCTGGTTCCTCTCTGGCTGGGGAGTCCTGGGAAGCCCCAAAAGAGGGAAGAACACATTCAAACTTAGGGATGGGCATGCTGGGGAAAGGGAAGACCTGTCTCGTGGCTCGTTTCTTTCCTTCAGGAAAACCTCTCAGTACTACTCACCCCTTTGGCCCCAGTGGTGGGGAGGATGTCACCTGTCAGGTATGGCTGGGGGACATACCCATCCATCAGCACCCTATTCCAACACACACCCACTCTTTGCACTGCTACAACCCTCATTCTGGCCTGTTTCCAAGGTTACTGTATTTTAAAACTTCTCCCTCACTCACTCTTACCTTAGGGAATTCATCTGGGCCACTTCTGCAAGCTAAGGTGGCACAGGGTCTCTTCCAGCCCAGTCTTCCTCTGAGCCCAGCAGCGCCGAGCGGGCATCTTCCCCAATCTGTTTGTGTCAACTCTGAGCTTCCCCCACCTCTGCTCCATCTAAGACTCATGCCTCCCTTTATGCGAAAGGCTTTTAATGTTGGAGGTCCCTAAGGATAGAAGAGAAGGGAATGTCATCACCAGCACCCTTCTTGGTGACAGGAGCATGGAGAGGTGGACAAGAGGGCAGTCTACCCGCAATGACTCAGAATGACTTTACTTAGGAGATAAGACCATGATGTGGGGGCTAAGAGCGCCCCAAGGCCCAGTTCTCACAGAGGCTGGATAGCTCCTGCAAGGAGCTTTCTTGCACCAGAAAGGCCCAAGCCTCGAAGTCTCATGGGCCATCAGGAAAAGTCTCACCCCCTCCATGCCCCCGAGGTGTAGGCCTGGGGGGAGCTGCTACTGGGTCTTACAGTCCCCATCACTGCTGTGGGCTGTCTTCACTTTCTTTAGCTCCTTCTGAAGCTCTGCCTCAGCCACCAGGATCTCCTTTGGCTTCTGGTACTGTGGACGGAACATAATTCAGTCACATCCCCCCTCGGGGTTGGGGGGACCTGCTCTGATGTCTTTATTTGAAAATGAGGAAACTGATGCCTATAGGGTTGAAGGCTTTGTTCAAGGTCACGTGGCTGGAGAGGAGCCTACCACCAAAACCCCACCCAGTCCTGTGATTTCCACCCCTCCACATCACCCTCTGTCCTCTTCCAGCTATGATTTACAAGCTCAGACCCTCCCTGAGCGCCCCCACCCCCATTCTCCCCACACTGAAGTAGAGGTGCCTGTACTCTAACAAGCACACTCCAGGGGTTGGGATGGAACGGGGGGCCCCTATGGGAAGGGAAGTGGGCAGGGAAAAAAAGGATGCAGGGGCCAAGAAGTCTGAGTGAATCTTACAGAGATGATCAGCGTGCAGTTGGCATGAGCAAAGCTCAGCGAGGACTCATCCAGAGGTAGCTGGTGTCTATCTAGGTCAGGAATGGAGAACTTCTTGTAGTACCTGTGGAAACACCAAGAGGTCATGGGCACATCTGGCAAGGTGACCCCCAACAACTGGGCAGCAGGCACCTCTGGTGCAGTTTCTACACAGTTCTTCCACAGAGCCACAGAGGAAGGAGGGAAGCCAGTCAGGACACCGGTATGTTAGAGCTTAGTGGCCCTAGACAGAAAAGAATGAAAGGCCTCTGGCCAGGCCAGCAGCTTAAAAGCAGGACCCGTCATGGTTCCTTGATCGGACCAGGGATTAGAGTCACCCATGCTTCAGGCTCAGGACTCCCAAACATACGCAGAAGAAGCCTCCTGTAATACACAGCTCGGGCAGGGCAGGCCAGGCCTCCTCTGCACCCCAAGAACATGGGAACATGTATGGTAACAAGGGACAGAATAAGTATATCTAGAGATGTGGCCCAAAGCTGGGACCAACAGTTGCCATTCACATGGGACTTCCACTGAGAGCCTCAGCTACTTTTTCCTCTTTTGCGGTCTTGAAGGCCCTGCTGGCCTGACTCTAAGAGAGAAGTATATGGACAAGGAGACATCGAAGAGGACAAATCATGTGACTCATCTCAGAAGCTGGATCTCTGGCACTTGGACTACTTTGCTGGCCCTGAGACCCCCCCTCCTCCGTTTTCACACACGGTCCCTATCATCTGCAGGTGTCAGCCCGGAGACTAATGATCCCTTTCAGTAAAAACAAACAAAACCAAAAAACCCAGAGAACAACATCTAGCCCATAATGTGTACAACTGGACTTTGTTTTACAGGAAATTTGACCTTCTTTACTGAAGAGGAAACTCGGGCTCAGAAGGGTGAACTGTCTGGCCTGGCTTCACAGCCAGTGGTCAGTGGAGTCAGGATTAAAGTTCCTCCCTCCTGCATGGGTGCTTATTACACCAGAGCACCTCATCATTAGTAACAGGCCTGTGTGGCCTTTTCCTCAATGGAAGTGTAGTCGAGACCCCGGCAGTGGCTGTCATACCCGTCGCCCAGGCATCACCGCTGCTGCAGTGGCCGTGTGGGCCGGGAAGGGCAGTGCTGCCCGCAGGTACAGACAAACAAGTGAGGGGCCTGGAGAGGATGGGGCTTTTAATACTTCCGAGGGGCCTGGCCCTTGTGGTGACAGCTACCCCGAGTCCACTTCAAAAGCCCCGATGCCCCAGGGACTCAGAGAGTTGACATCAATGTGCACTTCTGTCCTGCTCTCCTGCCCAAATCCCTCAGAGTTTAGCCGAGGCTCTGGGGGCCGGGGTGGGGGGCCCTCCTCCCGGGTCCTCTGCTCCCGCCAAGGTGCTGGGACCCACGGCAGGAAAAGAATGTTTACTTAACGGCTGACAGTTCAAAAGGAGTGGGGGCTGGGGGATCCTAATGGCACCACAAGTTTGCTTTATTTTCCAAAGCTCTGCCCCAGGGAAAGGCGATCCATCTGCCTGCAAACTGGGGTGGAATGCTGCCTCATCCTCTGCCTAGCCAGCCCGGGCTAAGGGCTCTTCCTGGGGCCCTTGGGCTGGCCAGCAAAGGTGGCAGACACTGATAATAGGGAGGAGTCAAAGGTTAAACAGCAGAGATTAGATGAACACAAAGGCTTGTTAGGAAGTGTTAACATCTTCCCTGCAAATATACACAAGAAACAGAACTGGGGGAGCAGCAGCCCAAGCACACGCAGGGCCTGTATAAGGCCTTACTGTGCAGGGCACGGGGACATCCTTTCTGCCCACCTGTCCTGTGCCAGGGGGGGCCGGGGACAGAGGGGCACATTCCCCAGGCTGGGACATCGAGACTGAAAAAAGAAACCCAGGCAGCTTGGCCTCAATGGTGACAATGACAAGATCAAAGGAAACTTGAGGTGCGTGGCTTGCCTCCTCTCTGTCTACCTCCCCACCTTTCACCATGAGGCCAGGGCATGGAGGCAGAGAGGTTTGGAGGCTCAGCTTGGTCTTGAGCATTTAGTTTACTGGCTGAGGTTACACAGCTTTCCACAGAGGCCCCTGCCGGGCAGTGTTCAAGGAGGTTCAGGGCATCCGCTTTCTTTCCTCGGGGCAGCCCGTCCCCCTCTCGCCCCCATTCCCTGGCCTTGGGGGTTTGCCTTGAAAGGAACCACACTTGACTTTCTCATCAGTACCTGGACTAGAGAGGGACCCACTGTGCTTCTGGAAAAGTCAGAATGCTCAGCCTCAGGCAGCCCTAGGGAGGGAGCAAACATGTCTCAGGCATCAACTGTGCCCCAGGCCTTAAGCTGTGAGCTGGGGATTTGAGGAGGAAGAAGAAAGAAGGCCCTATCCCTGCCTGAAAGCTAAACCCTTACAGCACAGTGGTTCCTGGGGTTTCGGAGGACACACGACACTCCCTGTTCCCATCTCCCATTACTGTTTTTAGTCTCAGTCACACGATGAAAAGTGACATTTGTAAATGCTTATTCTGGGCCAGAATAAGCCCAGATACACACTGCTCTATACACACTGAATCCTCAAAACAACTCTCTCAGGCTGATCGCTTTTATTATGCTCTTTTACAGAAGAGAAAACTGAGATACGGACAGTTAGTTATCTTGCCAGAGTCACAAAACTGGTACACGAAGAAGCCCTTATTACAAGCGATGATTCCCCAAACCTCCTGACCCTCCCTCTCTCCACATCCTCTCCAGAAGAAACAGACCCCCTGGGCTAGATTCCTCGCTCTGTCCAAGGATGGACTCCTCTGGGCCTCAACCACTCTGCACGTCCTCTGGGCACCGTAACACAGTAGCTCTCCTTTCTGAATGTCAAAAGTGTTCCAAAGACACGGGGAAGCAAAGGCTCTCACGATAGCGCCTGGTCCCAGCCTGTGACCCTAGGCAGGCCCCTTAACTTCTGGGCCCTACTTTCTTCCTGAAAATTCCTTCCTCAAATAAAGGAGCTGAATGAACTTTAGTCACTGAACCAGATGAACTTTAAGTGAAAGGACAAGAACAGGACAACTCTACCTCTCTCAACCCTGAGCTGAAAGGATGGCTCCTTCATTTTGGCTATTTCAGAAATGACCTATGGTACCCCACCACTCTCCTACTGTATCCCTTTCCCAACTTCCAGTCTTTTCCCAACCTATTCTCCCTTGCAGGGAACTGAGAGAGGGCACAAGATGCCAGGCCTTTAGGAAGAGACTCTGAAGAGAGGCGGAAAGTAGAAGCAGGCTTTGCTGTGAACAGCCATACGGGCCGTGCCCACAGGCACACAGGCTTCGCCAGGGTGGCCCACAGGAGCCTCAAGCCAGTCCAGCCCTTAGAAAATCAGCAGGCAAACCTTCCTTCTTTCTTAAACATCACAGCTCCAGGCAAACCAGTCATCCCTGCCTGAAGCAGCCCTTCCTAGACTCACGATGCACATTCACCTTACTAAGCCTGTCGGAAGTCCTACCAAAGAGAAACTTGTTTGATTCAGTTTCCTGAATTTATTTGACCATGGAATCCCTTTTTTTCTAGTGATGCCTATTAACACCTCCCACCGTGTTAGCATCACCAATGTCCAATCAGCCAAGTCCCAATTCCCAAAGAATTGCTGAAGACATGCTTCGGG